AAAATAATTTTTTTTAGTTTTTGTGTAAAAACTTAAACGTCAAATAAAAAAAGGATAAGTAATATTTTATTTATTTATTATTTTCTATCAAATAAATATTAATTATTAAATATACAATTATAAAAAATATCAAATTTACATTGGTTTTATAAAATGATAATTAAAAATAAAATAAAATAATTTAAGTGTAAAAAAATAAAAGGAGTAATACAACTTTTTAATGTGTATTGATATAGTAACAAATTAATAATAATATTTTTATTAAAAATATAGTATTTAATGTTATTAATATATTAAGTTTATAATCAAAATTAATTTTATATAAAATTTATTATATATCTCCATACACATTAAAAATTACATATATAATATTACATAATTATGCTAACAAATATACTTAAAAATTTACTATTATTAATTAAATATAATTATATACATATTCATTTATTTCAAATATAATCATGTCATAGTATTTAATTTATTTTTTGAAAAAAGTCGTTATCACAAATGCACTAAATTCTGCCACGCCCCACATCCAGTAGGTGAGGTGGGCAATTATTATCGCTGTATTAAGTGCTGCATGTTTGGAGTGGAGAATTTGAAGTATTAAGTGTCTCGAACTTTGGATGTGAATTGAAATTGACATGAACTCACTGAGGAGGTAATTATATGATGTGCAAGTTTTTCATTATTTTTTAATCTTGTTTAGGAGAAGGAACGAAGATGACATACGTGAACATAATACCGAACAATTAGAGCATATCTTAACTTAAAACCCATTAATCTTTCTTGCTCTTTAAGCCCCGAAAAAATGACTTCCCCTCAGCCCCCGAAGGTCCAAATCCAATTCATGGTTGAAATTTTGAATCAGAGGTCAGAAGGTGGCAATTTGACTGTGGCAAGTTGGTCAAGTTTGTCAACTTGCCTGTTGGAGGTTCCATCTTTAACCCATTAGGAGAGGGAAAGACACAAGAACAAAAACAATACACGTAAGAAGTGACATAATGTAATAAAAAATAAAAAATATTAAATATATGTTAATACTATTTAAATAATTATGAATTGCATTTTATTTATAAATTTGGTCTTCGTTTGTAGAGATGATTTATTCAAAGATATGAGGCTGATGCGATGGACAACTAAGACAAGTAGACATCTCTTTTCTACTCAAAGATGTCAGAACCATGTACTCCACTTTCAGGTCAAACCCTTAGGCCATATCTTCACATAATATTCTGTATATTCCTCTTCTCCATCTTCAATGTTTTCCATTTAGAAATTGACAAGCCCCTAAAAAATGAACCATATCAGCCTCTTGTTGATCATCTATTATCCCTTCATTCATTTCTACATCATCCCTTTCTATCTCTTCACAATTACAATCACTTCCTACGCTGCAGATCCAAAATTCGATGCATGTCAACCCAAAATCTGTGGCAATAACCAAACTATAAGCTACCCGTTTTACATCGAAGGAGTACAGGAATCCTTCTGTGGGTACCCTGGTTTTGGCATCTCCTGTGATCCAAATGGCTTCCCAATTCTCAGTTTCTCTAATACCCAATACACCATCCACCAAATATTCTACGAAAATCAGTCACTGTTAGTGTCCAATCCCGTGTTTTCAACCTTAAGATCAAACATCAGTCAAGGTTGTCTTCAACGTACTCAGAACCTCACTCTTCCCAATAACACGTTCCATCTTGCTCCGCACCAAAAGGACGTGATATTGTTCTACGGGTGTGACTTACCGTCGCTGCCCAGAGAGCTGCAAGAGCACCGAATTGGGTGTTATGCAGAAAACAGGACGAGTTCGGTTCTGGCAATGTATAAGGAGGATAAAAATATAAGCTTGGTATCAAATAATTGCACGGGTGGGGTGGCGGATGTGACGGTGGAAGATGGAATAGGAGGGATTGAAGAGGCGCTGAGAAAAGGGTTCTTCTTACAATGGACGGCTGGTAATTGCAGCGTGTGCAGAAGTACTGGAGGGAGGTGCGGATTCGATGCTGATATGTACAGTTTCAGGTGCTTTTGTACTGATAGAGTTCATTCTGCCAAATGTGATGAAGGTTAGTCTGTCTTCTCTTTCATGGCTCTGTTTATAAGTTTGTAGTAAATAGTAATTTATAGTGAACGCAAATAAGGGTAGCCATTTTTGCTGATTTGACTCATTGCCACCAATGCTCATGTTTACTTGATTTAGAACCCTTTTAGTCTTTACCCTTTATCCATAAGGACAATATTAAGTGCGTGTTATTGATGCTTTAATCTGTTATTTAGTTTAAATTAGAGTTTTATATTAGTAGTCTATTTAATAAAAATCAATGTTAAAGTTTCATATATTATCAAAGTGAAACTTGAATTTTAATTGAAAATATAAAATACCTTTAATCTTACACTTATATTTTGTTCTAAGACACGTCTCTTGTCACACTTCCACTTCTGTTAAAAATGACAATAGATTCCTTTCTTAACTATTTTGATTACAACCATGCAAAGTGATTAAAGTGGTTTCAGTTAGTTGTGCTTATTAAACTTCATAATTGCAACCGCTGTGTTAGAAGCGTTAATTTGAAATTATTAAAGATACTAGAATAATTTAAAACTAGTGTTTCGCTAATATGCTTGATGAGTTTTCTTTGTCGGCTCTTTAGCTGTTTCTAGCAAATGAAAATGCAGAATTGAGACTTTACAATATTTCTATATCACAGTTGCTCAGCAATAAACTCAATGGCACGATTCTGATGTTACATTAATCATAATCATGTTTATTTGTATGTTTTAAATATCAATGACACAATTTGTGTGTGTCGGTTTTTTAGTTTTAACTCGAATGTATCCCCAAGCCTTTTCTATTTATGAAGGTAAAATAAAGGAACACTTTGCACACACAGCATGATTGGTTCCTCTTAAATATTTTTGAAATAATTTTCAAAAATATTCTTGAAGAAAAAAAAATATTTTTTTAAAACTTTATCCTATTATCTGTAATTTTAACTAAAAAAAACATCATTTTCTGTATCTTCTTTTGTTGATCCAAACAAATCATTAGGCTATAATATAAACTAAGATTGTAAGCTCTCCCTTGAGAAGATATTTTGAACTTCCCTTCTTATTTTTCTATGGATTCACGTTATTGGTGCATGCTTGTTTAAACATCATTTGAGAACCAAATATTTAAAGGTAAATGGCCAAAAATAAGATTTCCATTTGTTTTATTAGTTCGGATTTTCATTATCATTTTAGGTGCAATCAGAAATGAGAATGGTTTGATGCGTTGTTGAGGACCTTTAGTGGTGAGGGAAAGTTTCACATGCTGTATAGGAAAATTAGATGTGAGTTGTGGGAGTGTATTCCAAAATCCAAGCACATTTTCAACAGCTAGTCCAGTACTAATTCCAAAAAATGTTTGAGCACAGAAGGCCTCAAGGCTATTTTGTTCAGGGCCTGTCACTTAATAGTTTAGACCCATTTAATAAATAAGTTAAATTATTATTTTTAAATTATTAGTTAAAAATGTCACTTTTTAAGCTATTTAAAAAACTTTATGGGTATAACAAGACGTGTTATTGAAAAAAATATAAAATTTTTCATTGTATTAATTTTTAATCATGACCTGAAAACGTATATTTGTTTAGGTAAGTCTACTGAAGGTTTAATTAAAATAAAAATTTATAGACTTTTAAGTTATGATAGTAAAAAAATTAGTTTGGACTTAAAAAATAATAATGTCAAGTAAACAGATTATATTTAAGTCTAATATTTTTCACTTGGTATAACAAGAAAATTATTAACAATTAAAGGTAGTATTTTTTATTAGAAAACATTAATCATATAAAAAGTGTAAAGTGTAAGACTAATACAATATCTAGAACTAATTTAAGCGTTTCTTCATTTGACAACACCATTTGTTCACGTGATTATTCTATGGTGTCTAGGAAATATCACAGTCAACAACTCCGTGATCAATCACATTAATTTTCAGAAAAGAACCCTGCTTGAAAAATAGGTTTAAAGTTGAATCATTTAATAGCACCATCCCTAAATTTTTCCCCAAGTCTCGTGGGGTATATTTGGAATTGGACGTAGATTGTAAAAGATTGAAAGTAACTTGTTGCATATTTCTTTAGAGCGATTAATTCTAGAAAATCTCTCTCTAACTAACGTGTTTTGAAACAAGTTATTTTTATCTCTTTTGTGTTATATTAGATGTTATTTAAGTATTTATTATTTAAAAGCACTAACAAGGTATTAATTACCAATACTCTTGTTCATTAAGAGTAATTCTTTTTAATTAACTATTCTAATAACTTTACTATTTTTAATAAGAATATTTTAGTAAAATTAATTAATTTTTAAAATGAGTATATTAATACTAAATAACATCTAAAGTAATAACAAATTGGTAATTTTTGAACCAGTATCTTATAGAGGTGGTTTTAAAAGAGCCCAACACATACAACGAAGTAATGACCTCTGCTTAGTTGTAAGTTTGAAATTTGCCCCTGAACTTTGATTATGATTTTCCAAGTTTTCCCCTCAAAGACTATACATAGACAGTGTTCCTCTACTTAGATACTAATGTTTAAAGTTTCTAACAAATTTCGTACGTTTTGAATCTTTTTAACAATTTTCTATCATAATTTTCTAATTATTTGAGAAAAAAATAAAAAAACTTAAGAATTTAGAGTAAATAAAAATTGATTGATGTTTTTATAATAATTAAAAAATTGAGGTATCAAATTTCAATAAAAAATTGTTAAAGAAGTAAAATTAGGTCCAGACGGAGAGGAACTAAAGAAGTAATTAATCCTTGAAAGAATCATGAATGATGATTGATTTTCACATATTTTTTTGTTATATAATATTTTAAATGCATGTTGGAAAATTTATAATAAAAAAGAATAGTGTATAATAATAAAAAAAGGTCCTTTTTAACTAGAAGTATATTTTCACGAGTTCACATAGGGAGAGGATTAGAAATTGTGGAAGAGACAGAGGAGACAGAGAGAGGTGCCCAGAAATTTGAAGCCCCTGATTGTGACACGGGCAGGTAAATGAAGATGAAGCACTCTTTTGAACGCGTTTTTCTCTCTGCCCTCATTGACTAGTCTGAGTGTGAACTCAACCGCTTAAAACGACCTCACCATTCTTTAAACTTGTCTTATTCGTAGACTCCTTCAACTCTCTTTTTTTCCTTTTCACTATTTCAACCGCAATGCCCCACTTCACTTCCAAACCATGATCAGGACTCTGGACGTTTCCCTTGCCATTTTTTTAATCTTCATTACCATGCACTCAGGTTTTCCAGTGTTTCTTTCTGATTTGCCTCTCATACACGGTTTAACAGGCCTACAAAACCAAAGCAAAATTCAGATGGAGAAGGGCAGTTCTGAATCAATTTAGAGACTATAAAGACTCGAGAAGTTAAGTCTTTGTGATTGTTTCAAAAGCATGAAATTGGTCTCAACTCCCCAAGTGTCAGATATGCATGTCTCACATAGTTTCCCACCCCAATAGGTCCTTTTTCATGGAGTATTTCATAGTTATTTCTAATTCAACACACGTATCAAGCGCTTCGAGTTGGTCTTATTTTGGGAAGAGTGTAAAAACAAGTAAGACACACTTCAGCCTACTTTAGAGAATTAAGTCCAAGTTTAATAATTGTATTCGATTCAGGAAGAATGAGTCCAGTTTATGAATTTGTATTATTGCTTTGGTTTTCTCACCTTATGCCACTTCTCTTGGCTTCAGGGCACCAAGGAGAGTGCCCCACTTCGTTCAATTGTGGATATCTCGGCAATATCGGTTTCCCTTTTACTATAACACAACGCCCTCACTGTGGCTTATTTCCCATTCCAAATTGTGATGATCGTGATCTACATAAGCCCAAATTTATCCAACTAGACAATCAACGAAAACCGTTTTTGCTTTTTCAAGTTCTTCCGCCTATTTCTGATACTACTACAACTTTGCATTTAAGAGACAACACTCTCTATGAACTTCTTCAAAACAGAAGTTGTGAAGCTTTCACAAACAATTATACTCTTCCTGGCGCCTCTCAATTTGCTGCTTTTAGTCTACAATACAGTGCAACCCTGTTCAGGTGCAAACGTACCCGCCATGTCAAACCTGCAACAAAAATGAAAAATTATAAGTGTGATGACCGTGACTACGATCTCTACTACGGGCCTGAATTGACCGCCGATGATCCGTCTTTGAGTTCTTCTACTGCATGTACAAAGGTGCTCCTTCCAATTAAAGATGTGCCAGATGCTAAAGACCCATTTACTTTCGTGGCTGCTGATTTGTTCATGGAAGTAAAATTAACTATTGAATGTGTAAATTGTCACTATCAACGAGGGGGGCAGTGTCAACTTGACAGCAAACAGAACTTTTGTTGTGCCAATGGTATACTGCAACAATATCCCTGTTAGCACAAACACACATGAATGCACTGCACTAACACTTTGTTACTTTGATCTGATTTTCACATTATTTGTGAAGCATTGTCTACTTTTCTGTAAAACGCCCCAAACCCTGTTCCTGTCCTATATCATAATCAGAAATCAAACAGCTCACGACAAGTGGAATTGATGTGCCTAATTGAAATTTTCTCGTTTTAATATTTCAAATTTAGTGTTTACTACACTTCCTAGCTGATTTTCTATTCTATATTAGTCCAGCACTCAGAATCAGTACACCATATTTTTCCCTGCTCAACCTTACCATCTTACTTCAAATCTGTATTGTTAGCTCTAAATTAAACTGTTTCTTTTACTTGCAGCTAGGGAGTTGAGTTCGAAGCTCAAGTTGGCTATAGGTAATTTCTTGTTTTTCTGCACACGACTTAAAAATCGTTGATCCTGAGTGTGTTGAACTCAGAGGTTCTGCGGACTTTTCTTTTAACATCCTCATTTTTTCTTTTAATATTTCAAAGGGGTGAAAACTTTTTTTAAAAATTTTGATAGTTTTATTAAAACTATTAGAAAAGTAGCAGAGTCATGCGCTCTGGTATGTTCTATAGTCTCTTCAATTGACATTTTGCCCGTTTCCACAGGTTTAGGAATTGGAATCCCAGGCATTTTGATAATTGTGTTACTGTTTCTCTTTCTACTCTACAAACGGAAACATGTTACCTCAGGTGGACACTTGGAATCAAGAGATGCTTATTCTGATTCCTCCTTAAATTCTCATCGAGAAAGTAGTAGTGTGTACTTTGGAGTCCCACTCTTCACGTATGGGGAACTTAAAGAAGCAACCCACAATTTTGACCATACTAAAGAACTTGGAGATGGAGGCTTTGGCACTGTCTACTATGGTAGGCTACTCAAACACTGCACTATTAATTGACATAGAAAATTATTCTTCCATTTTGTTCTTGTTGTATACTTAGTTAGACCTTTAATAAAACACAGGGAAACTCCCAGATGGACGTGAAGTTGCTATCAAGCGCTTATATGAGCACGACTACAGGCGAGTAGAACGGTTCATGAATGAAGTTGAGATCCTCACACGTTTGCGTCACAAAAATCTTGTGTCCCTCTATGGTTGCACTTCACGGCGCAGCCGTGAACTACTGCTTGTGTATGAATATGTTTCAAATGGCACCGTTGCTTGTCATCTCCATGGTGGATTATCAAAGCCTGGCTTACTACCGTGGTCTATACGAATCAAAATTGCCATTGAGACTGCTAGTGCATTGGCTTATCTCCATGCTTCTGACATCATTCACCGTGACGTGAAAAGTAGCAACATTCTCGTTGACAACAATTTTGGTGTAAAAGTAGCAGATTTTGGGCTTTCAAGACTATTTCCCAATGATGCCACTCATGTCTCCACAGCTCCACAAGGGTCTCCAGGTTACCTTGACCCGGAATACTACCAATGCTACCAACTTACTAGTAAGAGTGATGTATATAGTTTTGGGGTTGTGCTGATTGAGTTGATAACATCCAAGCCTGCAGTTGATATGAACAGGAGTAAGGATGATATTAACTTGTCAAATCTAGCCATAAAGAAGATTCAAGAGAGTGCAATTGGTGAGCTGGTTGATCCAAGTCTTGGTTTTGATTCAGACAGCGAGGTTATGAGGATGATAGTTTCAGTGGCAGGATTGGCTTTTCAGTGTTTGCAAAGGGACAAGGAATTGAGACCTTCCATGGATGAAGTGTTGCTTGAACTGAGGAGAATTGAGGGTAGGAAAGATGAGGTAGAGTTCGTAGAGGAGGCAGATGTTGGTGGTGTTGGAGTTTCACACAGTAATGTGCATTCACCACCACCACCAACACCAACCTCACCCGAGTGGGATGAAGTTGGATTATTGAAGAATATGAGGCTTCCTACTTCCCCAAATACCGTCACAGATAATTGGGAAAGTAAATGTACTACGCCTAATGTCAGTGGTTAATCACATTGGTCTACTATTATTAGTTCTTCATAATCCTTTTTACCATATCAACTTTCACCACTCGTTGCCAATTCAGTCTAAGTATCATTATCGTCCCATTCCCTTGTATACTTGTGAATACTATCAGTAAATTATCTTATACGCCACATTGTAGTTGAGAAATGACTTTTCCTGAGGGTACGTCAGTATATGTCAATACTAGGAAAGCTTAGAAAGTTGTTGAGTTGACACAAAATGTTAATACATTTTTCAATACAATTTTTTTAATAGTTAAAATATTTATCCCATAAAATGATCTCTTTTTAAAAATTCATATAACTTTTTCAAAATTTTATCATCTCAAGAAATATTCTAAAAATATACAAAACTTACCAACTACAAAATTTCTTGCTCTTTTCCCCCCCTCTGTCTTTTCTAAGACCACTACAGTATAAGAATAGGATAATTTAAAACAAGAAAGTCCAAGTTCGGAGTTTTCCTATTTTTGTTTTGTAGAGCTGTAAATCTCTCTCGTACTATGGTAATGTTCTTTTCGTCTACCACGTGTCAGCACAATAATGTATCATTCATATAATATACAATATTATTTTTAAAATATTCTTTTAATAGTATCACCAGTCAATGATGCTCAGTGATTACATGATAAAAATTATTTAAGATAAGTAAACTATTTTTATATATTTTTTGGTAAAAAATTTTAAAATGCATTTTTTTAATCAAAAAGTCCAGTGTTTATTATTATATTTTTTAATCTAAATTACTGAAGACAATTCTGTTCAAATTTTAAAAAATATATATTATGAATAACAAAATTCTCTTTATAAATATTTAGCATAGTTATGCTTATTAAAATTCAAACTCAAAATCACATCTTAACCTAAATTAACCCTTTATGTACGCTGTTCTACAAAATAAAATAAAAAAATAAATACAAACACGCTCACACTCGATTCAATTGGTTCAACCACCAATGGTCCAGTGATATATCTTGATTGAGTTGATAATTGAAACCAATTTAATTTGTGGACAAAGAAAAAATCAATTTAATAATACCGATGAAAATTAAGAGTATGATAGTTTGACCAACCTTATTATAAAATGGTTTAGATTATGACAATAATCAAAAGATCACAATAAAAGTATATTTTAAGTTTATTTTATTATATAGAAATGTTACTGGTTGATTACATCAATTATAATGCTTCAAACTTATACGAACAATTGACTTAAGTGGGTCAATTTATATAATAATATAATGTTATTATTAATAATTTCTAATCATGTTTAAGTTTAAAAATAATCATTATATATTTATTTAGAATTTCATTTATATAAACTAAAAAAATATTTGTTATACTAAAATCATTTCAGTAGTCAAACTATTTAGTGATTTAGCACCACATGCCCATCATATGAACCGCCCCTCGTATTGCAGCCTAACAATCAAAACTCAGATGAGCAAAGCTAAAATTTATGCGATGCTACGAAATTTTCTCTTCGTTTCCTTCCTTTTGTCATCATAGAATAAAAGTTATGTGTTTGAAACTAATCGGAAATTCCTTATGGAAAGAAATACGAAGTCATGAAATATACTTATGATTGTATTAAATTCAAGACGCGTTTTCCATAATATGTATGCATACTTTTAGCCTTGACTTTGACCTTTATTATTCATTTTTATTATTTAAATAATTACAAATTATATGTATAATATTGTATATAATCATTTTAATTTAAAACTTGTTTTAATTTTTGTGAATACGCATATATTAAATGTACACAAAAAACCAAAAAACAATTAAAAGTTATCTCCAATAAATTATACCCGGCATTTTCCTTAATTATCAGAGCATACCAATAATACCATCAAAGTTGCAACGTTTCTTATTTCTCTCTTTATAAAATATAATACAAAAAATTAAGAATAGTACAATCTTCTTTCTTTTTCTATTAAATATAGTAAACAATTAAAAGTAACTAAATTTTCAAAGTTTTTTTTTCTTTATATGAGAAACGGTTTTCCTAATTGAACTTGCTTTTCACGCAAATCAATCTAAGTAATTGGGCAAAACCTTTCGCTAAAGATGGCCTTAGTCACTATCCATTTCCTCTTATGACAAAACTTAGAAGCAAGGGTGTTCGACAATTCATCCAAATAACTGTAAGCCATTAATTCAAATTTAAAAAATAAAAACTAAAAAACCAAAAATCAAGCAAGCTATTCTACGTTTCCATCTGCCTCTATATTTCGTTAAGTCTCCAAACCTCAATTTTCAAGTCAACTTGCCAATCAAAGACGTTCTTTTATGTGACATGTATATATATTGTGAACACTTACCGTAACTTTACCTATACTACGTTAACAAAGAATCGAGCTGTTCCTAAAAAAATAGGGAATTTGGGATGGGTCTAATTGATTTGTTTTGCTTGGTCTTGTTTTCTTACCTTGTACTTCTACTCTCCGCGGGCTATGTAAATGGGCACCAACCTAGCTGTCCACACTCATTTACTTGTGGGAATCTTGGGACTTTCCATTACCCTTTCACCAAGGCAGAACAACCACACTGTGGCTTGCTACCGATACAAGATTGTGATAATCTTCACTCACCCAAAAAGAAGATCCAGCTGGAGAAAAATGGAATAAGCCTAGTGGTCACAGGCGTTGCTCAGCCGAATTCCATTGCCATTTTTGACGAAGATTTTCACAAGCGTTTACAAAAAGACACTTGTGACACTTTGAAAAATAATTATACTCTTCCTTCCCCTTCACCTTTGTTTTCTATTCACATAAAATTTAATGTAACCCTTTTCCAGTGCAAACGTAGCTTCAATGTTAAGCTCCCACCACATTATTTTTAATTCCACCGGTGTCCGGACTTTGATATCTATTATGACAGTTTTCCCTCTCCTAATAACACGGAGGCTCATGGTCTTTTCTCATCATGCTCAGTTCTTCAGTTAAGCAAAAAAGACTGGACTGATACCTTCGATATTCTATCCTTCGTATCTGCTGAGATGGTTCTTCAAGTCCTATTATCTAATGATTGTGATCAGTGCTATAATCACAAAGGAGGCCAATGTCGGCTTGACACCAACAAAAACTTCTACTGTGAAAAGGGTACCCTTTTAATTTTCAAACCCATTTTCTTTCATATCTATTATTTTTTATCCCTCTTTTCTTTATTTTTTTTTCTATCACATGGTTTATTACATTTTTCACTTTTTTCTTTCTTTCTATCTCTCTCTTTCTTCACCAAATTCATAAAGAAAAAAGGGCCTGAGAGAGTATCATTTTCCTACCTTCGATTGTACCTTGTTCTTATAGCATTACCGTACCAAAACCCCTTCCATTTAGCACTTCAGTGGCAAAAGTCAAGCTCACTGCTGAGCGCTAACTTGACTCCCTTACGTTACCCGCGTCATGGCAATTAGAATTAGTTCTACTATTATAATTTTCTTTAGACTAATTTGACCTTAACACTGCATTACTTCATTGTTTACTTAAAAAATTTCTTCAATTAACTTCATTTGCAGGGCCAACGAATAAGAGTAAAATTTTGAAGCTGCTAGTTGGACTTGTAACAGGTAATATATATATAGTAAATATTCGAGTATTAATTATGAGTCAATAGATCATTTTATATCAAGTATTAAAATTAAAATTAAACATTTATTTATTTAATAACTTTTTATAGAATATAAAATTGATTAATCAAACTTTTAAATTATCTTATGTTATTTTCTTTATTATAAATATTAAATTTTATGTATTTAATATTTGTAAGTATATTATTTAAATTTTCAAAAATATATCATCCATTTAAATAAAATAATGAGATGAAAATTTAATAATTTTATTTTTTTTATAAGTCAAACTACTTGATATATACCTTTAAATAAGGTCAGTAAATTGTTAAACATTTAGTGTGAATGAATACTGATTCTTTTATTATATCTTTAAAATTTTGTCCGCTTAAATTGCAGGTTTAAGTATTATAATCTTAGCCATTGTGATAATTGGGTGCCAATTTAGACGAAAACATACTCCTTTAGACCTCCAAAACCAATCAAGAAACCCACATACTGATGTAATTGATCACAACTCAAATCCAGACCCAGAAAATGGAAGGGTCTACTTTGGAATCCCTCTTTTCTCTTACACGGAGCTTAAAAAAGCAACATATAATTTCCACCACGCCAGACAACTTGGAAGTGGAGGCTTTGGCACAGTTTACTATGGTAAACCAATATTTCTCCAAACCTCTCTCGATAGAAAGTTGGAACATAGACTGATCGATGGCACTTATATTTTATGTTCATCGCCATATATCATTTTGAATAATTAAGGTATTTGATTTTGAACGACCAGGAAAACTGCGAGATGGACGCGAAGTTGCTGTGAAGCGCCTATATGAGCACAACTACAGGCGAGTAGAACAGTTCATGAATGAAGTTGACATCCTTGCCCTCATGCGCCACAGGAATCTTGTGTCCCTCTATGGTTGCACTTCACGTCACAGTCATGAACTACTCCTTGTGTACGAGTATGTTCCAAATGGCACTGTTGCATGCCATCTGCATGGTCCTTTAGCAAGGCCTGGCACACTTCCGTGGCATATAAGAATGAAAATTGCCATAGAAACCGCCTCTTCGTTAGCTTATTTGCATGCTTCTGACATCATCCACCGTGATGTGAAAACCAAAAACATTCTCCTTACCGACAATTTCAGTGTTAAAGTAGGAGATTTTGGACTTTCAAGATTATTCCCCAACGATGTCACACATGTTTCAACAGCTCCACAAGGGACGCCAGGTTATGTTGACCCAGACTATCATCAATGCTACCAGCTTACTAGCAAGAGTGATGTGTATAGTTTTGGGGTAGTGCTGATTGAGCTAATATCATCTATGCCAGCTATTGATATGAACAGGCATAAGAATGAGATAAACTTGTCAAATCTAGCCATAAAGAAGATTCAAGAAGGTGCATTTGGGGAGCTGGTAGATCCTTCTCTTGGTTTTGAGTCAGACAATGAGGTAAAGAGGATGATGGTTTCGGTTGGAGAATTGGCTTTTCAGTGTTTGCAACGAGACAAGGATTTGAGACCGTCGATGGATGAGGTTTTGAAGGTGCTGATGAAAATTGAAAGTGGGAAGGGAACAGATGAGCATATAGAGGAAGAATATGTTAGTCCATCTTCTCTACCCTCACCAGATTGGGATGATGAGCTTGAATTCTCGAAACAAATGAAGCTACCACCTTCGCCTAAATCCGTCACTGATAGATGGCATAGTGAATCTACAACACCTAATGCCAGTGGTTAATGCTGCTTACGCGATTGATCTTACACTGTAAACTCCCAGGAAAAATAAAAGGATGAGGCAGGCTTTTTCTTGTTCTAGTTCTTCGTTCTACAAGTGATTGCGTTTTTAAGCGCTTGTCATTTGGATTTACGAAAAGAGATGGGATGAAACATGTTGAAATTTTTATTATTTGAAACACAATTAAATAAATTAAAGATATATTTTATTCATCATTTATTTACTTCTACAAACAAACTACTATTACATAGATATATTTTTGTTGTTATTGTATGTGCAATTATTTTGAATTTTTTAAAATCTTTCTAAGAAAAGTAAGGTTATTTTTATATGAGAATAAAATAATAAATTTTAATTTTTTTAGGTAAAATATATATTATTAGAGAGATATCAAGGAAACTCAAAATTTACATACATAAAAAAAAAAAATTAATACTTACTCAAAAAAAAAAGTAAAAATATATTTATACAAAGTTAAGAAGGATATAATTTTGTGGTTAAAAAAATAACTTCTTCTTTATTAATAAGTGATAGACTTCAAAATAATAAAATTTAAGACTTTTTTCTCATACAAAACACATTGAAAAATAATAAATTTTAATTTTTAAATATTGTATAAATAATTGGGATTAAAATATACGAATTGCATAAAATTTAAATAAATCTATCTTGAAATATACAAATTTAAGTAGTGTATAAATTATTATTTTTAACTTGAAATATTCAATCTTTGTGTGACACATATAATGAGATGACTATTTGCATTATGAATCCCCAGAATTGTGCATGCCCGATGTACACGCTTTATTTTTAAAATATGCTTTATATCTTCTTACAAAATGTGACTTATGTGATGTTTTGAAAATAACTTCGGTCATACATTGTAAGTATAGCTTTGTAAACATTTTATTAATTTTCGGCCTTGGTTTTCTAAAACGATCCACGTATACACACGTGTATATAAAAAGAAAAAAAAGATTATTTCAGTGTAAATAAAAAAGACCATATTTGAGTTATTGAATTTCTTTTATTTTTATTTATAAAAAAATAATAAAATAATTAGTATTTTAAATTTCGTAAATATTATTGTTTAGTTTTTTATTATAGTCTCTTTTATCTATTGTATAAATTAATATCACATTTATTTATTAATTTTACGTAATAAATATTAATTATCAAGGATAAAATTGTAAACTGGCTTATTCATTCTAGTTTTTAAACACTTATGTTTGGTACTCACTTTAAAAAACGGAGAGAAATCAATCCCATCCCACGCGTTTTGACGCAGTCACACGGTGTGCTCGAGCATATCGTGAATTACAAAAAAATAATTATTTTATTTTAATATTTATATAAAAATAGTCTGTACTCTTATTTTCTTTCACCTATTCAAAGCCATAAGGTGAGTGTGGAGCATGGTAATACTGCACACCACTTGTCGTATTAGCTCCACTTTGAGCCGTCTCGGACAAGTTTAATAAATCCAAGACTTTCAACGGTGACTTTGAAAACTTCTGAGTAAGGAATCAAAGTCTTCCCTTTAAATTTGTCCCTTTCGTAACCTGTCTCAAGTAGACGACCCGTTATATCAATGTTTTTGCTTAATTTTTACCTTTCTGAAATTTTATTTTGTAGTACTAGCTTGGAATTACTTTTTAGATAATTACAAATTATTAACTTTTCATAAATTTTAATTACTCTAAATTTGAAAAATCGAAATCTACCAACTTTTTAAAATAATTTACATTTACATCTTCCAAAAACAATTGTTTGCATTAAAAACATTCTTATACATATATTATGTAAAATGCTACCTAGTTGAATAACTAGTAGGCATCACATGTGTCAAAATATTGATAATCTAAAAGAGAAAAATAATAAAAATACAAGAGAGTTAAACAGAAATAATTAGATTATAAATTTTTTAAATAAATACAGAATAATTAAAAAATGCATACTCAATTTGAAATAATTTAAATTTAAAATATAAACAAGATTTAAGAGTAATATCATTTTTTTTTCATATGTATCAAACATTAATTTATTTTTAAAAACAGAAAATTATTTTTAAAATAGTAATCAATTATCGTCAATGACTTACACTTTTGACACGACGGCTATTGTTTCACTGACTTATCCCTTTTAATTTATAAAAAATGGCTTAAATATTTTTATAATCTTTACAATAAAATTATTTTAGTTTTAGAAATTTTATATTTTTCAAAATCACCTTTGTTATTACTTTATAATAACAAAACATGCATTTAAATATGCAGTCTTAACAAATATTCTGAGGTAATAAATAATGCACCATATATAAACGTATATCAAGTTATTAATAAATAATAATAATAATTTTAAATTTTGTCAAAAGCATAAATAAAAAATTATTAAAAATATATTTAGTAATATTTATTAAAAATAAAAATATATTTTTGTATTCACGCTGCTCAAAGTGCATACACACTTTGAAAGAAAGAAAAGGCTAAAATAATTTAACAGTTGGAATGTGAAATAGACTTACATGTATTTTAAAATTTTATAAATACAACTTTATATAATTTTTTGTACATTTAATGATTTCATGGCAATGATTATTTTAAGATAAAAAAGAATGTGACAACACTTAATAGGGACATTTTTTTATATATAATTTTTTTAAATTTAAAAAATGAGATTTTTTACCAAATTACAAAAATATATATTTTTTAAATATCATTATTAGCAACTTTTAGGCAAAAAACTGTCAACGACAGCTTTTAATATATTTTTTAAATATTTAATTATTTTTTAAAAAATTGCCATTAATAACTTTTAATTTTTTAATATTTAAAAAAAAAATCATTATTGATAAGTTTTAAAACTTTATTATTATTATTATTATTATTATTATTTTATCTTTAAATTTTTATATTGCACCAAAAATTGCTAATAATTTTTTAACTTTATATTCTTATAATTTTACAAAAAATCTCATATTTTTTGAATTTTAAAAAATTATATAAAAAAAGTAGCCGTAATATATGCCGTACCATTAATAACCAAAAGAAATGTATAAATTAAAAACATTTTATCTTTAAAAAAATAGGAGTCATTTTCGAAGTCAACTGGCTTACCAAGCCCTTCAAAATGACGCGTACATTTATCTTTAAATATATTTTTATGATAAAATTATTGAAAATTAAAAAAATATAAAAATATTTATTAATTTAAAAATGAAAAAAAAGGTGAAAGACATTCTATTTCTATAGTTTTCAGTCAATGTTAGTCAACAGTGAAAGAATGTGAAATAGAGTGTATCAGAGATGCTGTTGCCCTCGTTGCTCTTACTCATAAAGGGGTTGCTTTCTGTTCTATGCTGCATAGAATGCATTTATTGTTTTCTAAAAATATCTCCATACTTTTTATCTTTCCTTCACAACTCTTGAGATTCGTAATGGTTCCCCTTTCCATGTTCAAATCAGTTATTATCTTCGCCAGTATTCTGCTTCTCGCCTCAGCTGAGGATGGAAAGTGCCCCCCATCTTTCGACTGTGGTTTTCTTGGACTCATCAAATTCCCTTTCACAAGCACACTGCGACCACACTGCGGCGTATTGCCTATACGTGGCTGTGAAGATTATAATGCTTACGCTCCCAAAACCATCCAACTCATTAAAAGCTCAACATCAACATCCTACCCTGTTCTACAGGTTGAACCTCGTACCATAGTGATCAGAGATGATTATCAATATAAAAATATCCGAAACAGAAGTTGCAAAGCCTTCAGCAACAACATTACTCTTCCACACACCTCTCCTTTGGCTTCTTTCTACATCAAATATAATATCACTATCTTCAGATGCAATCACTCCCTCAATATCCCCGTTCCCAAAATTTTTAATAAATATTCGACCTGTTCTGAATACAATATCTACTATGGCCCTGCCAATACTGAAATGCCTCGGGGCTACCAGCGGCCCAGCTCTCTAGCACCATGTTCCACAATTCAGCATGCCGTAGTAGATAAGTGTAGTGACGACCCCTTTCAATGTCTGTCGGGTGATACAGCTATCGAAGTACAATTATCTGAAGATTGTGAAGAGTGTCTTGCTCACAGAAGAGGCCAATGTCAACTTGACAGTGAAGGAAAATTCTACTGCGCCAAAGGTATGCACAAATACCTTACATTTTGCAGACATACACATCCAGTATGTAGTATAAAATTAGCATGGTACTAGGAATTAGCCACAGCTAAGCGATCTCCGAAAGTCGGGTAAAATCAGAAAACAAATGAAGCAGTTGCTCTATTGCAAGTGCAGGGGAGGAGAGGGTGTTTCAAGTTGTGGGCATGCACAAGCTTCAACCAAATTGACCGTTTTATATCTTTATTGATTGCTCTAACTTTATTTTTTACATTTAATTTCTGTTGCAGAGGATAGAAATTTGGCGTGGAAATTAGGATTAGGTAATGCTCCTTCTTTTCTTAATTGTCGATCAGAGCACCATACATTCCCTGTCTGTGTGATTTTCCCCCTCTCTTGTATGCAGCTTATGATGACTTCGTAGTATTTGTCTCTTTTTACCTTCGTGTTATTGCTACACAGAGACATGCAATCCCAATTATAGTTAGTTTCAAATTTCACTTCAAATTAATATGATTTCTCCCTTTTCGTTGGGTTTTAGGTATTGGACTTCCTGGAATTATTATAATTGGACTACTGATTATATGTTACTACAAACTAAGATGTGCGTCTGATGTCTACTCAAATCCACACCTAGAGAGTGCCAGTATCTACTTCGGAGTTCCTGTATTCACCTATAAGGATCTTAAAATAGCAACAAAAAGTTTTGATCGTTCTCGAGAACTAGGAGAAGGAGGATTTGGGATTGTTTACTACGGTATGTCATACGAACTCCACCTGCTATTCACATATATAATAATTCAATTGGTCTTCACATTTCCATGTACTTGAATGAATCATGCTTTCATCTCTGTTCTAATAACTAGGAAAACTCCACGATGGACGTGAAGTTGCTGTGAAGCGCTTATATGAACACAACTATAGGCGAGTAGAACAATTCATGAATGAAATCAAGATCCTCACTCGCTTGCGCCACAAAAATCTAGTGTCTTTATATGGCTGCACATCACGTCACAGCCATGAACTATTGCTTGTCTATGAATACATTTCAAATGGGACTGTTGCTAGCCACCTCCGTCACGAATCAACAAATCCTGGGTTTTTGGGATGGCCCATCCGACTGAAAGTGGCCATAGAGACTGCCACTGCATTGGCTTATCTCCATGCCTCTGACATTATTCATCGTGATGTGAAAACAAACAACATTCTCCTTGACAACACTTTTTGTGTTAAAGTTGCTGATTTTGGATTGTCAAGATTGTTCCCTAATGATGTCACCCACGTTTCCACAGCTCCACAGGGAACTCCTGGTTATGTGGATCCTGAATATCACCGATGCTATCAGCTCACAAGCAAGAGTGATGTTTATAGCTTTGGGGTTGTCCTTATTGAGCTTATATCATCTATGCCTGCTGTTGATATGACTCGACATAAGGATGAGATTAACTTGGCAGATTTAGCTGTTAGGAAGATTCAAAAAAGTGCAATTCATGAGTTGGTGAATCCTTCCCTCGGTTTTGAGTCAAATAGTGATGTTAAAAGGAAAATAACTTCAGTAGCAGAATTGGCATTTCAGTGCTTGCAACGAGACAAAGAGTTGAGACCCTCTATGGATGAGGTTTTGGAGGTGCTAAAGAGAATTGAAAGTGAGAAGGATGAGTCTGGTCATCTAGAGAAAATAATAGTTCGTGGTGAAGGGATTTCACACAGTGATGTACTTCCATTACCACCACCTTCACCGGATCATGATGAGGTGAAACTCTTGAGGAATATGAAGTTGGCACCTTCGCCAAAGGCTGTGACAGAGAAATGGGACAGTCAATCCACTAGTCCTAATGTCAGCGCTGAATCGTCAAGCCAAATCTAATATGTCACTTATGATTTAAAGATAGATTTTTTACTTTATGAGAGTTTTTTTGGTAATAAATGTAATTCATAATAATTTGTTAGTACCTGATCTTGATCTTGGAGGAGGATCTTAAACATTTGTTTGTACGTCTAATCTTGATTGTACATAAGGGGTGCTTTAAGAATAATATTTAGAAATATCCAACTAGACATGTTTTTATATTTTAAAATTGTGACAACTGTAACCCTGAATAATATATTATATATAAATGGTTAATATCTATCCATAATTGTTAAAATTAGATCTTGTTGACTAGCTAAATTGACATCCAGTTCGATTGACTCAAAAAATCGATTGAGCAAAAAATGGTTAATAATCCATCTAATGGGTTAAAAATGGAATAAGAATTGATGTAAAAAATTATTTTAAATTAGTCACTTCCTAATTTTTTATTCTAAAATATTTTTAAAGTAAATAAAGACCCATATATGATACATATAAATTATTTTATTTAACTATTTATTATATTTGTTTATCTGGTAAAGCATGTAATATGATATTTTAGGTTAATTTAAAGTTTAACTTACTATTTATATTAGTTTATTATTAAATATATTTTACAATATTAAAAATATCTATTTAATATTACTAGTATACCTCTATTAAACCATGCTTAAATTAATGAATCCTTTCATCAAACTAATATTCAGATCAATTTTAAATACATTAGTTTTAGCACAAATTACAAATAGTAATATTAGGTTATTTCTATAATATTGACTGAGTAACTTACCAATAACATAAAATGACGAGTAGACTTTTATTTTAGTTTTTAAATAAATAAAAATGTATATAATAATTTTTTTACAATATTAAAAACTAAAATAATTAACACTTGCAACTTGAAAAATAAAATGAGAATTTACTCGTAAACGAAAAGATTATAAATTTTTTAAATAAGTTTAATTTTTTTTCTTTTTCTCTGTGACGATTCATAATTAGATTTACCTCAATGAACTACTTTTCTTCTCCTTTGTTGACTTCTTTGAGAGCTTTTGATCTTTTTTTTTTAATTTTTTCCTAATCTTAAATTTATTCCTATCTTTTCCTCATGCTTTGTAAATTTATTTCTATTTTATTATAGTCCAATTTAACTTGTAAAAATGTTAAAAAGAATAATATTCCAAGCAAAATCCTAAGCAAATATATATTAATTTAGCTCATTTTGCATCATTAACAAACAAAATTAACGTTAACAAACTAAATAAAATCATTTATCATAGTTAAAAAAAGGTTCTGAATATAAAAATTATGTTCCTACCACATACACATACTTTGAAAAGTTATGCTATTATTTAAAGTAAAATTAAGTATTCATTTTTTTGAAAGTATCATTTTCAAACATAAATGAAAAATTTAAAGTCAATCTTAAGTAATTCTGCTATATTACTGTTTATGTTTCTATTTATCAGTCTAGAAAAGGAAAAAAAAATTACATAAACAAAAGAGTTTAAAAATTTTGTTAAAGATATTAATGAATTTCTAATTTATTCTTTATTGATGGATTTTGTTTGTCTTTAAACTACTTAACAAGTATAAATACTTTATTAATTATACTTATTTTTTCCACAAACAATGAGGTATTAGTAGAATGTGTTAAGAAATATATTTAAAATAATGTGACACGCAGAGTTTTTATGTGATTAATATATGTCGAGTAATTATCTTTCTAAAATAATTCACAGCACAAATAACATGAAAGTATTTATTGAACTCAATTGCCATAAACAATCAACAGTGTCTCAAATCATATCCTAATTACATATTCACTAAAAATATGGAGTAAATGAAGCCTAAGTTGGTCTCAGATCTTTGTTGGATTGATAAGTTGGAATTCTTCGGTCAACGATTTGAATTTCTAACACGACAACCCTCTCAATTTCGTTTCACAGAGAAAATTACTGGCTGGTACTAATTGATTATTGACGAAAGCTCAAGAAAACTAAACTACTCAGCATTTTTCCAAAATGTAACCAATGACATACTATCACCTTAGTAACTTCTTAACGTGCCGTGCCGTGTGAGAATTCTTACATTTCTTTGATAATACTGTAAAGCAGTTGTTTCTTTCAAGTCAATTGGCGTATTAAGCGGTTCAAAATGATAATGGTATATTTGGGAGTGGAAAGTTTAACGGTACATCAGTAACAACACACTTTCATTCGACAATTCTCCATATTCATTATGATCTCCTTCTCCAAGTTGAAATCATTGATTTTATTTTTCTCGCAGCTTCTGCTTGTTGTTTTAGCTCGTGATGGAAAGTGTCCAGCTTTCTTCAATTGTGGATTTCTTGGCCAGATCAAATTTCCTTTCACGGACACGCACAACCTACACTGCGGCGTATTGGCTATACGTGGCTGCGATGAACACAATCCATATGCTATCAAAACCATTCAACTAAATAACTCAACATCAACATTGTTCAATGTTTTACAGGTTGCACCTCGTACCATAACGATCAGAGATGAGCAGCAACAAAATTATTTGCAAAACAAAAGTTGCCAAGCCTTCACCAACAAAATTACCGGGATATTGCCTCACACCTCTCCTTTGGCTTCTTTCTACATCAAATATAATATCACTATCTTCAGATGCAATCACTTCCATAGTGTCACCCCTCCCAAATTTTATAAATATTCAAACTGTTCTCAGTACGATATCTATTATGGTCCTCCAAATATTGGAAATCTTCTGGATTTCAAATGGCCCAAATCTTTAGCACCTTGTTCAAAGAATCAGCTTCCAATAATGGACAACCCTGCTGCTGCCGACCCCTTTAAATTTCTGACTCATATTATATCTATTGAAATAAAATTATCTGAAGATTGTGAAAAGTGTCTTGGTCACAGAAGAGGCCAATGTCAACTTGACAGTAAAGGAAAATTCTACTGCGCCAAAGGTATACACAAATCTACTCACAATTCATCAGTTTTTTTTTTTTTTTTGGTTTAATAACTGTTTAGGAGAGAAGAGATTGTCTCAAGTTCAGACCATAACATAAGCCTCAAACAAAGGTTACAACGAATAACCTTTAAAAGAACAGTTCTGCAAATCCAAAAATAATAAATATTTTTTAATTAAAAATTTATAATTTTTAGATGCTTTAACTCTCCCTTTTAAGTTAACATTACCATTAAAAATTGGAATTTTTAATATGACGCATAATACCACATTGGTAGTATAGATCTAGCAGGCCAGCAAATAGCACGGTACTTAGAACTAGCCTAATTAAAATGTTGAAACTTACAAATCGAAAATTTTATTCCTATTTTAGCATGACATCTGCAAAACACTTATTTAATGCAGTCAAACTTTCTGTTAATATTTAGTTAGTTTGTTTGTTTGTTTTTAAATCAATTTTTTAAAAAGTAAAATTTATTTGTTAACATAAGTTTTATTTTTATTTTTATTTTCTTTTTAAAAATAGTTTTTAAATACAATTTTTAAAAATTAAAAACTAAAACAGAAAGAAACAAACAAGTCCATCGTTTCTAAACCCTCAAATTTATAAATGTATCATAGAAAACACCATTCTATCCTGACACTTATCTTTGTTTTAAGATCGAGAAATTAATGGTTCTTTTGATTTATTCTGCAGAGTATGAAAGTTTGGCGTGGAAGTTAGGGCTCGGTAATGTTTCTTTTGTTCTACTTTGTCAATCCGAGCACTATGCATTCCATGTCATATGTATCTTATACCCTGATGTACTTTTTCCCCCTGCCTTCTGTACTTCTTATGATGACTTCTTAGTATTGGCTTCATTTTAACCTTATATAAACATTTGCTAGCGAATAGAGTCCTTCAATCCCATTAAGTCAAACAGTTACAAATATCCATTTTGCGTGTGCATCGGCATAATCTAATAGCATTTCTCTCGCTATTGGTTTCTAGGTATTGGTATTGGACTCCCTGGCATTATTATAACTGCGCTGCTGATTATTTGGCGCTACAAACGAAAATGTGTTCATTTCTATTCAAATCCAAACGCAGAGAGTGCAGCCAGTGTCTACCTTGGGGTCCCGATCTTCACGGATAATGATCTTGAAGTTGCAACTAAAAATTTTGATCAATCAAGAGAAGTAGGAAAAGGAGGATTTGGGGTTGTTTACTATGGTATGTAACTGTATCATTCAAACTCCACTTCTATGCAAATATATAATAATTCAATTGGTCTTTACATATCCATGTACTTCAGTCAATCATGGTTTCATCTCTGTTCTAATAACTAGGAAAACTCCACGATGGACGTGAAGTTGCTGTGAAGCGCCTACATGAACACAACTATAGGCGCGTAGAACAATTCATGAATGAAATCAAGATCCTCACTCGCTTGCGCCACAAAAATCTAGTGTCATTATATGGCTGCACATCACGTCACAGCCGTGAACTATTGCTTGTCTATGAATACATTTCAAATGGGACTGTTGCTAGCCACCTCCGTCACGAATCAACAAATCCTGGGTTTTTGGGATGGCCCATCCGAATGAAAGTGGCCATAGAGACTGCCACTGCATTGGCTTATCTCCATGCCTCTGACATTATTCATCGTGACGTGAAAACAAACAACATTCTCCTTGACAACACTTTTTGTGTTAAAGTTGCTGATTTTGGATTGTCAAGAGTGTTCCCTAGTGATGTCACCCACGTTTCCACAGCTCCACAGGGAACTCCTGGTTATGTGGATCCTGAATATCACCGATGCTATCAGCTCACAAGCAAGAGTGATGTTTATAGCTTTGGGGTTGTCCTTATTGAGCTTATATCATCTATGCCTGCTGTTGATATGACTCGACATAAGGATGAGATTAACTTGGCAGATTTAGCTATTAGGAAGATTCAAAAAAGTGCAATTGGTGAGTTGGTGGACCCTTCCCTTGGTTTTGAGTCAAATAGTGATGTTAAAAGGAAAATAACTTCAGTAGCCGAATTAGCTTTTCTTTGCTTGCAACGAGACAAAGAGTTGAGACCCTCCATGGATGAGGTTTTGGATGTGCTGAAGAGAATTGAAAGTGGGAAGGATGAGGTTGGTCATCTAGAGAACATTTCACCACCTTCACCGGATCATGATGAGGTGAAATTGTTGAGGAATGTGAAGTTGGCACCTTCGCCAAAGGCTGTAACAGATAAATGGGATAGCAAATCAACTGGTTCTAATGTAAGTGGTCAATCGTCAAGCCAAATCTAATATACCGCTTGTAATTGTATTTTTCTCTTATTAATCCTTAAAAAAAGTGAATTTTGATTAATATTTATGAAAAGATAAATAAATATAAAAAAAATTAACATAACTTGTTTGGATGAAATGATCTATCCCCCCCACCCACTCATAATTTTCATTAATACTTAATATTGGGCTGTAATAATTGTAAATACAAGAATCAATTTATCTTATCTTCTCATGCACTTTGAATTTTTTTGTTTAATGTCAATAAGTGGTTAAGCTATTTGGGGTGCCATATATAGTCTGGTGCAAGGTTGAGCTTTTGAGGCAACGTAAAAATGTAAATACAACATGAGCATATAAATTTTAAATTTCATAATATGTACTCACCGATGCAAGTGATTGAATTCTGAGTGTTTTATTGGCGGCTCGGTAACAACTACGATAATAATAATAAAGTATAATTAAACAAAAAATGACTTTGTAAAATTACTTTCAAATTCACGGGGCAGTTGCTGTTTCATTGTATTTATACGAGTATTAAGAAGATTAGTTTTTGGCACTTTCTCTTCTTTTACGTTACTACTATTTTTTATAACGTTTTCTTTCAAAATTGTTTTATTTAGTTTTAATAGATTATGTATGAATAATGTTATGCCGAAAATGATATAAGAGTATTAAAGAATTTTTTTGTCGATTATAATGGATAATTTAAAAAATTATAAAAAATAAAAATAACGTAAAAAATAATTTTAAAAAATGGTAAAAAAAGCAATCCCGGAATACTAATAGGAGGTGTGGGGACTCGGCCATTGTTGATGTAGTAGGGTTTATATATGAAGAAGGGGTTATTACCGTCCTTTTCTTTAACCGTCCCATCCTTTTCATTACTTTTAGAAATTAAATTTTATAAAACGATTTCAAAAAATTAATTTTAAATATAATTTATGAATTGTTTTTAAAAAATTAACAATAATTCGGGGTGGGCTAACTCCTCCCTACTTGGATTGTATTACCATTGTTGTAAAACTTACATTAATTTTTTTTATATGGTTGTTATTGGATTTTTAAATCAAAATATCACATACAATATCTTGAGTTCAGTAATATAGTTTGATAAAAAATTCACGTAAATAATTAAGGACAAAATATAAACAATTAGGGCTGGTTTGCTCCATTCCAATTACTTCACTATGGGTTGAATTTTGTTTTTGGTGTAGAAAGGTTTTTGTTTTCTCGGCCTGGACTTTGGTTGAATTGTGTTAGAAGAGTTACTAAGATGTGGGCCGACAACAAGTTTGTTTATTCAACACTCTGTGGATTACAGGATAAGCAAATTGGCTCATATTGCCTTGTATGTATATAATATTTAATTCTCTTTTTCTTATTATATTCCATCATTGTCATATTCCCACACTATTATATTATATAACAATATTTAATATACTAATATAACTCGATAAATTCCATTACAAATGTTTTGAATTTTTAAGCTTTTTATTTATTTATTAACATGAATATATAATTCAGTACAAAAGGTTTTTAGTAAAGGAAAAAAAAGAAGCTAAATACATGTGAAAATATTAGTTGTGGAACAGTGACTGTTCAGAAAGAAGAATATAAGATATAAGCAAAAGTTTGTTTAAATTAGAAATTATTTGTTAACTGTGCTAAATGCTTTTGTTTTTGAAGAAAGGAATGAGGAAGAAGAAAAAAGACTAAGATATTTTGAATGACCAATAATAAAAAAGAGTTTAAGCAATTAAGTTGCAAGAAATCAAAAGTTCAAATCTATACTTCTTAATAACGAAGAAGAAATGTACTCCAAAAATGATATTCAAAGTGTTTCTTCTTTCATCGTTGCTGTCGAGTGATGCATGATTTAGTTATTATTTTGCTGAAAAGGTTGACTCTGGAAATGAATCTTGCTGCAAAGTTGAATATTTGAAAAGGTTGAAAATCTTGCCGTCGAGTATACGAACATGCATGACCAATTATGAATACACCCATCAATTGACCAACACGAACAAAACATTCTCTGAAAGTGAAAGACATGAAAGGTCAACCAAACCGTGTTTTGTGCTTCACGTCATTGACTAGGCCCAGCTCCAGGGCCTACTTTGTTTATATCTTCCAAAGTCAACTACCGTATCAACGGTCTACCCCTAGTTTTAATTTAAAGAAAATATTTAAAACTGAGTTTAGTTAACCTTAATTTTTAAAGATAAATTTAAATATTTATAAATAAAAAATTTATAAAAAAATATATAATTATTATATTAAAATTATAAAATATAATAAATACTTCTCTTTCTAATAAAATTTTATTATTATTAGTAGAGTTGAGGTTAACAAAGTTTTTTAAAATTTATATTATTATAATATATTATAATTCAAAGTAATATTATTTTTAATTAAAATTAAAATTTTAAGATTTATACCAACTGTTAATATTAATATATTAATTTTTACTATACAAATTATTAAAAAAACTGAAATATAAATTTTTTAAAAGTTACCTATAGTTATGATACTAAAAACCGTGTCTGAGATAATCTGGAACGACCCGTGTCTTCGTGAGTTGTGACACAGGTTGCGACAAACAATCCGTTTTAAAAGAATATTTTAAAGTTTTTTTATTTATCTATTATATTATTTTAATAAATTTTAAAATAATTTATTATTTAGAATATATATATTTATTTTATAATTAAATTTTCAATTATTCTTATAAAAATAATTATATCGTATTTATAAAAATTAAAAACTTTTTAAAATATATTAATAATTAATTTTTTATTTTTATTATATAAAATTTATGTTAATAAAACAGCTATGTATTATTTATATAAATAAATATATTCATTATTTATTTAATAGATAAATTATTAGTTTAACTACTTACTTTACGAATATTTTAAAATATAATAATATATATTGACTTTAATTAATATTAAGATTAAAATATTATGTTAATGACTTGATATGCTATAAAAAAATAAAAATAAAAATAAAAAAACTTCCAACTGATTGTATAAAAAAATCTGAATTTCAGTTAATGTAATTGCGACATATGTTACCATCCTCAATTTGATGGGATTGTTTAACATTAAAAGAGACTTTTTATAATTTTACATGGAAGACTTATTTCTTAATTTTGTTTGATCATCAATAATTTGATTATTTTAATAAGAGTGGTAAAAATTATTTTCAAAAAATATAAATTTATAAAAACAATTAACAAAATTTTAAATGAAACTAAATATAATCATATTTGTAATAACCAAGAGCACGTTTTATCCTTTATAAATTGTTGGTTTTTGGACGAGCTTTGTTCACGAGTTGAGGATTGGTTTCCAAGATGTTTCAAGTTGACATGCTTTGGATGACGCTTGTCATTCTGTGGGCTGGAATTGGAAATGGGGACCATGAAGATTGTCCACCCTATTTTGATTGTGGAAGCCATGGGAGGTTTGGCTACCCTTTCACCAAGGTAGAACGCCCAGATTGTGGTATATGGTCAATCCATGGTTGCGATGATCATAATCCAAATTCAGGGCAAAATGTCATATTAAGTTTTGGAACAACCTCGATTAAGGTTAGAAAATTTGAGTTGGATTTTGTCACTACTACAGTTTACTTTATTGATGAAGATCTCAACAAACTTTTGCTATCAGAAAGTTGTGAAACCTTCAGCCATAATGTTACACTTCCACCCAGTTCTCCCTTGGGTTATTATACCTTACTTAATAATATAACACTGTTCAAATGCAACCGCATCCTCAAAGTCAACCCTCCAAAAACTTTCCTCAAAAATACAAGCTGTGGCTATGATATCTTCATAGGCCCTCCACACTCTGATGACGTGTCTCAGCGCTCTCTAGCAGTTTGTTCAATGGTTCAGCTTCCCATTAATGGCTTTGCAATCTCTGCAAACCCATTTGCATTCTTAACTGCTGAGATTCCCATGCAGTTCCTTCCCTCAGATGAGTGTTTGCTGTGTCTTCATCATAGAGGCCAATGTCGACTTGCCAGCCAAGGAAAAGTTTATTGCGCCCAAAGGTATTATATATCTCTCTAAATTAATATATATGTTCGGTCATCACATGGTACAATGCTAGATCCTTGTGTTCGTATCCACATTTTATTTTGGATAATTCATAATTTGGTTATGAGCTACAAAATATTTTCTTTGGTCCCTTTTATAAGATAGTGTTAGAAATTTTTTATGATTTTGTTCATAAGATAACTTACAAAATTTTATAAATATTTAATTCTTTTTTTTTTTTATATTTGGGATTGCTCACTATTAATGATCGATATTAAAGCGACACAGTTAATTTTTTCAATATATATGATTTGGTAAAAATTATCATATAAATAACATAGAAAAGAAAGAGTAACAAGTAAGAGTCGACGTAATATTTCTCTAAATTATTTCAGATTTGATTACTACATTCTGCAATTGAGTGATCATTTTGTTGTTCTAAACTGGCACTACTTTACTAGGCTATCCATAATTTTATTTTTTATTATTTACTCCAAACAAGTTTTTTTTTCAAATTATTTGCAGGAAGGATAAAAGAAATTCGGATTGGAAGCCAGGATGGGTATTAGGTAACGTAATATATTCAATTTTGGTAGCTTATGCTTCCCAAATTTTTGCATGTTCATAAAACAATTCCAACTTTGTTTATGTACGTTACTAACGAATTTTGTGAGATTTTTTTTAATTATATAAGAACGGGTTCACAGTTCCCATAGAAACAAACTCTTTAATATAGACTAATTCATGTGAAATTTGCACACTTTATCGGTGAATCTATTTTTTTTTCTACTATTTTCCTCTTTCTCAAATTTTATAAATAAGAAAAATAATTTACTATATTCTTGTTAAATTTACAATATGATCAAAATAAACCTGGATTATTTTTATATTAAAATAGATACTTTTTTCACACATTGTACGTGTCATCACGGTTATTTGTTTAATATATTTTTACTCATATTACAACCCAAATATTTATTGTTTTTAATATAATTTCACTACATGGTATTGCTACAAATTGAAAACATATCAGTTAAAAAAATTATTAATGTTATTATCAGAATGTGTATATTTTTCTTTTCCCTTTCTTTAGAGAATATCTAAATAAAATTTAATCTTGAATTATTTTCTTGCACGTAGAATAGTATACTCTAAAGTAGTGATATATCCTTGAGCGACACGCTGTACCTCTCATTCCACATTAAACATCATCATTTTTTTTTTCTCCATACCAACAGTTGATTTATCTATTCCTTACGAACATTCACACGATAATATTGTTAGCTTTAAATTTATTATTATAATATTTTAAAAGATATTTAAATGGTTGACTCCTTTCTCTTATTATTTTTCTTTTAACCTATCAATAGGTGACTATATTAAATGGTACTCTGCAATTCATTTTAAGTAAGATCATGAATTTAAGTTGTGCGTGAAAAAAATCTACAAAAAAAAAAATAGTCATATCATACTCTAAATATTCTTACATCACACAATTATTTTTTGTTAAAGATATATGTAATTTAAAAAGAATTATAATTAACTTGTTTGCCCAATCTAAAGCACGGATTAATGTAACTCAACCTGTACGTGACTATGGGTGGAGTTATAATTGTTATTAAAACAAATAAAATGAATAGCTTTAATAATTTTATAAAATGTAACTCAAAATGTAGGTGGCTATGGGCGGAGTTATAATTATTATTAAAACAAATAAAATGTACGTGACTATCCATGGCAGGTATAGGTGTTATTGCTCCATGGATAATAATAATGTTTGGGTTATTCTTCGCATTACGGCACTGTAAACGGAAATATGGTTCCGCACAAGGTCCATTCCAATCAAGAAACACTCCAGTTGATCCCTACGAAAATCCAGACACAGAGACGGAGAGGATCTTCTTTGGTGTACCCGTCTTCTCCTATAAGGAGCTTCAAGAAGCAACCAGCAATTTTGACCTCACTAGAAAGCTTGGAGATGGAGGCTTCGGCAGCGTTTACTATGGTCAGTACGAATAATAAATCACACATTTCCATTTTTACATAAATGAATTGAATAACTGTATTATCTTATTTGTTTTAATAATGCTTAATAGCTAGCCGCGAATAATTGTTACTTAAAAAGCAGGAAAACTCCAAGATGGAAGGGAAGTTGCAGTGAAATACTTGTTCGAGAACAATTACAGGAGAGTGCAACAGTTTATGAATGAAATTGAGATTCTCACTCGTCTGCGCCACAGAAATCTCGTGTCCCTCTATGGCTGCACCTCACGCCACAGCCGCGAGCTACTTCTTGTCTACGAATATGTCCCTAATGGCACACTTGCCTACCATCTACATGGCGATTTTGGAAGAGCTAGTTCGCTGACATGGCCAATTCGAATGCGAATTGCGATTGAGACGGCAACAGCATTGGCTTATCTCCATGCTTCCGACATCATTCACCGTGATGTCAAAACCAACAACATTCTACTTGACATTAGTTTTTCAGTTAAAGTAGCAGATTTTGGGCTTTCAAGGTTGCTCCCCAATGACGTAAGCCACGTTTCCACAGCCCCACAAGGGACACCGGGATATCTTGATCCTGAATATTTCCAATGCTACCAGCTCACAGATAAGAGTGATGTGTATAGCTTTGGGGTTGTGCTCATTGAGTTAATATCATCTATGCCAGCTGTTGATGCAGGGAGGGAAAGGGATGAAATTAACTTGGCAAATCTAGCCATAAAGAAAATTCAGAAAGGTGAACTTGGTGAGTTGGTGGGTCCATCCCTTGGTTTTGAGTCAGACCGTGAAGTTAAAAGGATGCTAACTTCAGTGGCAGAATTGGCTTTTCAGTGTGTGCAAGGAGACAAGTTATTAAGACCTTCCATGGAACAAGTTCTTAAAACACTCGTGAGAATTGAAGGTGGGAATTATGAATATGAGGATCTAGTACAAGGAAATGATGATGGTGATGGGACCTCGCACAGTGAAGAAGTAATGTTTTTCACTACCCGCGGGACTGAGGTTAGGGTAGATTTGTTATGACTAAGAATGAAGCTACTATGTTGTACGCCCAAGGTCAGAGGATACTCAATTTTGTTAATTTTTTCTGAGGGTATATGTTACCGTATAGACTTTGCTGAAAATCAGATTTCTCCAGCGGTTTATAATTTTGTGAGTCAATCTTCTTATGACTTGAGTCTGCAATGACCATTTATGCGGTGAATTGTTAAATTCGTACTCTAAAAAATAGTATGATATCATATTATTGTCCCCCCAAAGTAGTATCAGTCAACTCATTACATTGGAACACTCGTTTAGGCATTCTTTGTTTTCCTTTTCTATACTACTACAAGCAGTTGGAATTACTGCGTTACAACTTGCATAATAAAAGAAAAAAAAAGTAAAAGAGATATCCGACATAAATAAAGTAAACAAATTATATGATTTGAACGAATAAAAATAAAAATATTAAAAATCTTTATGTTTTATTTAGATGAAATTTTTTTTTAAAAAAAGTATACAAAGATTTGAATTTTTATATATGTATAAGGAAGAAGAAAGAACAAACTAGTGAATAATAAAAACAGAAAAAGTTGTGAACCCTCTGTAAAAAAAACACGAGAGAAAATCCTCAACACAATGAGATTAATTTTTTGTTGTTGGAATTTTACATGAAAAATTATTCTCTTTTTTTTTATAAATATGTTGTGTCAAACAAGAAAAGATTATGTTTCTTTTTCTATTTGTTTACGTTATTTCTAAAATAACAAATGCAATGTACGCGTTTGTTCAGACAAAATTTTGTATTTAAAAAATATGATGATTAGCCGCCAAAAAAAGAATATATCAGAAGACAACTTGAGAATATTTTTTTGGCTCGTTTTCTAAAAATTGTTGGCACAATTTTCCTGCTCTTATGTCACAATGGATGTTGTAGTGAAAATTGTTAAATTTTTTAATATTAATATTAATTTGTATATTAATATTATTAAATTATTATAATTATATTATTAATTATAATATAAAATAAATATATATAATTATTAATAATTATATAGATTTTTTATGATTGTGCTTTTAATATAAATGACTTGTGATGGGTTAAGTCATTTTATGTACCTAATGAAAAATTTCTGCTCTTATTAGAGTTATATAACCATTATCTCATTTATTAGGATTATATAACTATTGTTCCATTAGATAGTTACTCTATAAGATAATAGCAATTAAATAAGAAAAATAGTATAAGTTACTTAAAAACAATAATTATTTATGATTTGTGAGTTCTCAAGTACATATTTAATATAATTATTTAATTACGTATAGTTATAATTATATTAAGATGTTATAGCGTGTATTATATATAATTGTGGTATCTTTAATTTTATATATAAAATTATGGAATACTTTAATTTAATATATACAACTTCTGCAAAAATGACTAGAATTTAACTTCAATTAAAAGTGTTTCGAGAAGTTATATTTTGCTATTGTGTAAATGGAGTCTAAAATAACTAAGCTCATACGTGTTGCTAAAGTAAAGATCAACAAATCAGTATTATCTTTAATCCGTGGAAAAAATATTTTATTCGGTTTTTTATTTTATTACATAAGGATGTATTTGGGTAATTGTTTAATGAAGCGTTTGTTTATCATTTTTTGTTATACGATAAATTTATACCATAAAATTAAATTACAAAATTTATTTATTTAAATTAAAATAGATCATTTTAATAAACTATACAAAAATATTATTAAAATAAGTTTTTAAAATTATAAAGTATTTTAATAAACTCTTTCAAACTATTCTTAAAACTCTTATTTTGCCCTAATATAACACATTTATTGAACACTAGAAGTTTTAGCCATGAAGTATTAATATATTATTTAACTCACATGGCACTTAATAGTTAACAAATCAGATCATATATTTGTATAGTATAAAATACCATCAGAGGGATTTCTCTAGCTTGGTTCCTTGTTGAGTCTTGAATGATTAGTTTTTAATAATAATGACATTAATGATAACACGGTGACGACTATGAAAGTATAAAGAGCAATATATATTGTGGGGTGAAAATGTGAAATTAGAAATTATAATTTAATGGGTATAGTTATGAATTGAAAAATATTTGTTTCAATCGCGTTAAAGTTCTATGAAATTTAACTTCAAAACTGTAGTTTCAATTAAAAAAGACACCTTAAGATGATTTAACTATAATTTAGGTCCAATCTGAATTTTAAACATCAATTTCTGTGTTTAATTTCGTGTACCAAACAGACTATTTATTTAGTAATTGTACTTTTCATTTTATTTTGAATCACAAACTTTCTAACCTAAAAATAAAACATTTTTTTTCTTGATATTATTTGAAGCTGGAATCTGAATCACGTTTAGTAGTCAACCAACAAGATTTTAGTCTTCCTCAACTTTGCTACAGATATGTAATCACTAATGACTTGCAACTTCAATCTTCGTTTTACTTTTTGAAGAGCGTTTGTTGAGATCAACAATTTGAAAATGCTGACTGTCTTAACCAATGATTTTATTCGATAAATGTTAATAAATGCAAATGTGTCTATAGTTAAAGAATAAAAATAGTGATTAATAAAATAAAAGTGAAGTATAGGAGTACTTAAGTATTAGCATACAGTTATTACATAAAAATATAAAAAAGATTAATACTTGTACTTTTAGTAAATAAAAATATTCAATACAATTTAATCTTTGAGTAATTATGGGCATCATCAATAATCTTATTCATTAATCAATCACGATCATGATAATTTCCTTTCATACTAGATGATTTCCGTTTGCTGTGTTGTGGGTTGAACACGGAACGAGAAAGTATATTGTTTCACACTGACCTTTATTTTGTCTGAAGATAAATATTTTCTGTATCATTTTAAGAGAAATTTTAATTTTTTTATAGTTAAAAAATATTTTTAAGATACATGTATATAACAAATAAATAAAAACAATTGTATAATATTATATATAATATAAAATTAAATTTAGCTGTTAGAATAACAGAAGTTGAAAGTGATTTTGTTTTATATACTTCTAGTCAATATTCACAACGAACAGCTAGAAAATTAGGTCTCAAATTTATGGTAATTAATTATAAATCCAGTTCGGTCGGGATCAACAAATTTATTACCTACTTATTTATTTATTTATTTAATTAAAGATAAAAATTATATTTATTTGTGTAAAATGTTAAAATATTATTAATTATTTTTATTATATCATAAATTTGATGAAAAATTTTATTAAAATAAACTGTAAAGAATTGATTTTATAAAATACAAAAAAAAATTATAAATATAAGCTAAAAAGAGTTTATAGGAATTATAAATAATTTTCATGAGTTTTTTTCCCCATATCTTATATGTAATTTGAGATGCATTTAGACTGTTTGAAATATTAGTTAAATTATTTTCAATAAAAGATGGTAATTTTCATTTAAATTCTAGAATTATTTTTTCTATAACTAGTTCTCTAATTAATTAACCATATTTATCTTTATATGTGAAATATAAGACACACGTCTACTAATTTTTCATTATAAATATTTTGACAAATATATTTTTTATTTATATTATTTAAAAGTTATATAAGATATTCGTTTGTTTAATTTTCAAAATTGATGGGGACCGACATTTTACAATGCACAGGACAAGGCTTATTGAAAAGACTTGTGAAATAATTTTCCTAGTCAATTGGCGTATCAATTGGTTCCAAATATTTTTATATGCTGTGAAGAAGTGGGAGTTACAACTTGCGAAGAAAATAATGGGAGGTTTTGATGACGTGAGAGTGAGGGGTTTGAGGGTGTCTGAGGTTTATGTTTTGTTTTGTGGTCTAACAGTGCTTCGTCTCCCAGCCACTGGGAGCCATGAAGCTTGTCCACACTTATTTGATTGTGGAAATCTTGGGACGATTGGATTCCCTTTTACCACAATAGAACGCAAGGAGTGTGGTGCTTTAGCAATCTATGGTTGTGATGATAGTAACCAAACAGCAGAGAAGCATGTGCGGTTGAACAATGGAGGAAAACGGTTCCAAGTTACAAAAGTTGAGCAGAGGTGGAGGTGGTGGTATAGTATTTCTATTATTGACCATGATTTCAGGGAGGTTTTGCAAAATGCTAGTTGTAATTGTAAGGCCTTCAGCTATAATATTACTCTCCCTCCCCACTCTTCTTTTGGTTCATTTTATATAGAAAAAAATATAACCGCATTCCAATGCAACAAAAGTAAAACCCTTAAAATGATCCCTTCAAATTTCTTCAAAAATAAAACCTGTTCTGAATTTGATATTTACTTCGGCCCTTCAAACTCTGACGATGCCTCCCTGCATTCTTTAGTGTCCACATGTTCAACGCATTACTTTCCGGTTGGTGAAGGTTTTGTGTTATCAGGAAACCCATGGCCATATTTTACTCCTAAATTTACCATTCAATTCTCCCCTTCAGATTATTGTAACCGGTGCCACCACAGTGCTGGCCATTGCCAACTTGACAACAAGAGTAAAGTTTATTGTGCCACAAGGTAATACTTCAACAAATTTTTTAAATGTTATTACATTTAATGTTATATTTATATAATAAAAAGTTAATAAATATTTTTTTAAAACTATAATATTTAATTTTATTAATGCATTAAATTATGTAATATTTTGTGATTATTAATAAAAATTTATTTTCCATAAATCCATAAAGTTTTATTGTAATGTTATGATATTTAATATCCTTTAGTACACATTAAATTTTTTCTATTTAATAAAAAATTTATTTATATAATTAATATATACCATAATTTGTAAAAATAAAATAAATAAAAAAGAGAAAAATATAAAAAATTAATGGATAATATAATGAAAAGAGATTAAAGCATTATAAAAATTGTTATATAAATTTATTACTACTTTTAAATTATGCAGGAGGAGGAGTGGAACTTGGAAACTAGGATTGGGGCTAGGTGACGTACAGATTTTTAATATTTTTTTATAATATTAGTTTTTTATTTTTATTATATTAATTGTCTTATCTTATAATTTTCTTTTATTGTAAATTTTTTTTGTGCAAAGAAATTATTTAAGTATATTTCTCTTCAGTTTAGTAGTTTGTGCTTCCAAATTTAATTGATTTTGTGCATTACGTATAAAACATGTGCATCAAATTTTGACATTAAACCCCTTCTTTTCCCAACTTTGTTTGAGAGGTTCTAACAGGTCCTTTTTTTTTTTTTAAGCGGAATATAATTTGAAACAAAATGGAATATACTTATTTGGAAATTCACTACCATGATACTTTATATACTCTTCAAAAACAAAATAAAATAACTTTTGTTTTGTCAAAACAATTCCGCTATATATTTGTCTCTTGTGTGCAAATCAGAAATAGAAGAGAACCCTTTTGGATAATTAACAAGCAACCAGGTAATAAATACTCAGATTAATATTTTACTAAATTTGAAGAAAAAAAAAAGAGGCGTATAAAGTGATACTCTAAATTTTTTAATAAATACTGTACTCAAATAATTTAGATTAATAAAAAAAATACATGTCTAAGTTAAAAAAAATATTATGTATAATATATTTCAAGTTATATTATTTGCTATATATTATTATTATTATTATTATTATTATTATATATTGTGTATATTTAATTTTTTTTATTTTATTTTATGATAAATGTTTAATTTCAAATAAAATATATTTTATATTAAATTTATTTAATAATAAATTATTATATTTATTATATTTAAACAAGTTAAGGAATGGTTAGATTTTTGAATAAAAATAAAATATTATTAAAATTAAACAAACTAAATTTTTTTAAAAATATAATAATATTATATTAATATATTTTCATATTTTTAATTTTATTATTATTAATATTTAATTATTATATTAATATATTATGTTATAATTATTTTTTATTTATAATAAATAAAAATTGCTTAAATATAAATTATATTTTATTTAAAAAATAAAAAAAATTAATAAAAAAAATTTATAAAAAAGTAATAAAAATAAAATAAGAAATTATATATATATATATAATAAAATTATATAACAAATAATATAAATAATATAATTTTAAATAAATTATATATAATATTTTTTAATTTGATATATATATTTTTTATTGATCTAATTTTCTTTTAGTACGGTGCACATAAATTTTTTTTAGGATAATACAGAATTTACTCAAAAAAATTGCTGGTAGCTGTTGACACACACTTTACAGGGCTCGGAATTGGAGCATCGATGGTATTTGGATTGATCCTCTTATGGCGTTGCAAACGAAAACATGGTCGTGGTCGTGCACAAGGCCAATTACATTCCACAAACGCTTATGCTGATCCCCACTCAGAGACGGAGAGGATCTTCTTTGGGGTACCCGTCTTCTCTTATAAGGACCTTCAAGAAGCAACCAACAATTTTGACCTCACTAGAAAGCTTGGAGATGGAGGCTTTGGCACTGTTTACTATGGTCAGCATCAGCATTATATATATATATATAGCTCATTTCCACTTTTACTTTTATGCATGATAGATTCACTAAGCAATAGCATTGATCTCAGGGAAACTCGGAGATGGAAGGGAAGTTGCAATCAAACACCTATTTGAGCACAATTACAGGAGAGTGGAACAATTTATGAATGAAATTGAGATCCTCACTCGCTTGCGCCATAAAAATCTCGTGTCCCTCTATGGCTGCACTTCACGTCACAGCCATGAGCTATTGCTTGTATATGAATACATTCCAAATGGCACAGTTGCTAGCCATCTCCACGGTAATTTATCAAGGGTTGGTGTGTTGACATGGCCTATTCGAATGCAAATTGCCATTGACACTGCTACTGCATTGGCCTATCTCCATGCTTCTAACATCATTCACCGTGATGTCAAAACCAACAACATTCTGCTTGACATCAATTTTTCAGTTAAAGTAGCAGACTTTGGGCTTTCAAGATTGCTCCCCAACGATGCCACCCATGTCTCCACAGCTCCACAAGGGTCTCCGGGGTATCTTGACCCTGAATATTTCCAATGCTACCAGCTCACAGACAAGAGTGACGTGTATAGCTTTGGGGTTGTTCTTATTGAGCTTATATCATCTATGCCTGCAGTTGATGCAGCCAGGGAAAGGGATGAAGTTAAATTGGCAAATCTAGCTTCAAAGAAGATTCAAAAAGGGAAACTTTGTGAGCTGGTAGACCCATCCCTTGGTTTTGAGTTGGACCATCAAGTTACAAGGATGCTAACTTCAGTGGCAGAACTGGCTATTCAGTGTGTGCAAGGGGACAGGGAATTGAGGCCTTCTATGGATGAAGTTGTGGAGGCACTTCAGAAATTTGGAAGTGGGAAATATGAGCGTGAGGATCTAGTGCTAAGAGATGAAAGTGCTGGGATCTCTTCTGGTGAAGAAGTGCATCTACCATCATCAGCCTCACAGGACTCAGGTCAAGTTGGATATTTCATGAACCAAAAGCTACCAGCTTCACCCAAGTCCTTGACTGAGAAATGGGAATGTGAATCTACTACGCCTAGTTCAAGGGGTTAATCACTTTTTCTAATGACAGTAGTTTTTCATGTTTTGTTGACAGACAATATGTTTGCTCAGAAAAATAGTTTGTAGACGCATCATTGGATGAATGCTCAGAAAAAACAAAGGGTAATGTAATGCAATTAATAATTTAAAATATATTAAATAAATATTAATTATGTTAAAATATTTGTAAATTTAAATTGTTACGGAAATGATAATTTCAGAGTCTTAAGGACACTAGAAAAAGTACGAGAACCTTCACCCAAGAAAGAAAAGTTAAAGGTAAAGAAAATATTTGTGTAAGATTACTTCTTTCTTATCAGTACATTGTAACTACCAATTGCCTAATTAGTAAGTGGTAACGCATGAATGCATGGGTGACTAAAATGTTTAGTGGTATGTATCACAAAAATATGTACATTTTGTTTTTGCAGCTTCTATTAAACTACTAAAAATTAATATTATATATACAATTAGATATTATATATTTATATACATTTTTTAAAAATATACTTAAAATATGAAAAACACCTCTTAAATATTCCTTTCCAATAGTTCAAGAAACAATTCTTTGTTCTTGTAAATCGCAAGATTATTCCACCGACTCACCAACATCTTTTTATGGGTGCATTTATTTTATGGAAAATAGTTGAGTCCTACTCGTAATTCCATGGGCATCACATCGGTCATAGTCTCTTTTTCCCTTTGAAATCTGAAAGAAAGATGCATAAAATTAAAGGAAAGTAATGAATATGTTGGGAAGAAAAGAAGCAACCATTCCCAAAACAGATGCCATGCTTGTTAGAAGCAATGAACCACCTTTGTCCCCTCACAATCATCAATATTCAAATTCAAACTCACTTTAACTCTCTTTTAATAGAGACGAGAATAGAGAGCAGAAATAACTCAGTAGGAGATGGCCGCATTGCAGAAAATCAAGCTATTCGCGACGCCGTGTGGCGTGGCGCAGAGCCGAACCCAAAGCCCCAGGATGAGCCCTCTGGTCCAGTTCCGCCGGCCCAAAACCACGCTGCGCACTTTGCTTAGCCTGAGCCGATCAACTCGCCGACAAGAACACGTGTTGGAGAAGGATCCCCTGCGGAGACACTCACTGAAGGACCTCTTTGTGTCTTCGCCGCCTAGAGAAGACGACGTGCATGATGCCACCACTCCAATGTTGGGTTCCGTAGCCGTTGCCCATTCTTGGAGTGACGGACCCGGTTCAACTAACCCGGCTTGGACCGGTTTTCGTTGCAGGTCCTTATTGAAAAGAAAATATTGGCGCCCTCTGCTCCTCACTATTCCCGAATAATCCATTCAACCAATTTCATCGCATCTTCTACATATTTTGTTCCATATCAAATTTTTGCTTCTCTATTTAAGTCGCCATAAATAGAGTTATAATTGCATTTTAGTTTTCGGCTTCCTCTTGCTCTATATGTATTATTTCATCTGATCATGGTATTTCACTATTTCGTGATATGAGAATACAAGCACATTTTCACTTGCTTAAATTTAAATTATTTGATTTTCTTAACGTCAGTTTTTTAGGCTGATTTAAATACACAGAATAGTAAAATCTTTATTAGATTAAAGATTAAAAAAATAGAATAAATATATTTTTATAACCATTAGTTCCTTAAATTCGGCTTCAAACAAAATCGTAAATGATTTTGTGTGAAAGTTAGATTGGGTAATCTTAAATTATGAAGTGGAGTTGCGGTCCTTCTTTGTTTCTTATTGTTCTTTTTAGGAAGGAAAAGTTAAATTGAAATTGGGTAAAGAGAGGCGTGAGACACGTTATGAGTTGGGAGAGAAGAATGCTTTCTTAAAGCATGGACAATCAATGTCGAAAAATGGCAAAAGATAAAGACAGGCATGCTTGTCAGCTTGTGTCAACATCCACAAACAATACCTTTGGTCTTGATTGGCATTGAGAAAAGGATTAGAGAAAAGCTTGGTGGTTTAATTTTGAAACTAAATCTATTCTTCCAGAATGTGAGTGTATAAATCAAGGCGGGAATTAGAAAGTAGTTCTTGATCAGCAAGATTTAGTTATATTATCATTTATACTTTTTTTTTTACATTTTAATTTGTCTCTAACTTTTTATTAGGTAAAAAAAAAAAATGCACAAATTCAAGAAGATCATGTTTTTGTACTTGCGTATAAAAGCACGAGTGGAAGATTTCACATTGCGGTTTACCAAATATTTGGTAGTGGGTTATGAGGGGGTAAAAAGCTTAGATGACACTGCATGATGGTTTGTTTTAGCAATAAAATATTAGTTCAGGTTAAAGATGTTCAGAACAAGTTTAACAGCAGCATCGATCTTACGCATAGTTTACACTAACTTTTTGGAAAGAAGGTTGCTTAAAGATGGCCTAATTGAACGTGATTGTTATCCTGCCACAATATTTCTATGTAATCACCGATCATAGGTGTTAAGATTCAAAGGAAACGAGATAATGACAAGTACTAATGAAATTGTATGTTTATGAATATGATCTATCGATTAAACCTCTGTTTTTCTGGGTCCGACATCTTGTCAGTTGTCGTGAATATACAAATTGAACATATGGTCTAAAGCCTTTATTGGACCGTGATCCAATTCTTTTGTTAGTTTACTGAGGACATTGAACAACAAAAGCCATAAAGGATAGACAAAAAAGCACAGAAAAAAAAAAGAAGAAAATCCTCCCAACCTTCCCCAATTGTCTCTCACATTTTATTATGCTCATTATTTTCCTAATAAATCTCACAATTCTATTTAAACAGATCATTTGCACACTATAACAAAAATTTTCAGTATCCAAAGCAATTATTTTTTAAGTTAATAATGCAATGACGACATTTCTGAAAATTAGCATGTCAACAGTACTTGTGTTATTTGAAATATTTTAAACTTTCATTTGACCAGCAGAAACTACGTATATCTGAAATCAGAGAAAATTATATTTATTTCAAGTACTACTGAATAAATAAACCATTTACTGTTATGATATGTATAATGTCCCTTTTTATGGCATATATAATTTTATCTTTTCACATGCTCAAAATTGAATTGTAGCATAACTTCTGCTAGCCAATGAAGACACAAGCCACTGCTTCACGGGAACAAAAACACTATCATGATTCTTGAATTCGTAGCTCAATATACAAGAGACACATTTTTCATAAAAACAAAAAAATGAGAGAGACGGATTTTGGTCACACGAACATAAGTTCAGTCTTTTATTATGTCTTAATTGATTACGTGCAAGCTGTTTACTTTGTTCTCTGCTTCGTTTGATATCTCTGTTGGATTGTCTTTTCCTTCATGATTAATCTTTTACTTAGTTAATATATTGCTCAAATTAATTCAGTCTTACAAGATACAATTCTCTTCCTGTTAGATGATATGATAGATCTTGGTTATGCAAGTGATTGACCGAAATAGTCTTTATTTTTATTTTCAGAAAATATATACTGCACCGTATACGTATTCATGTTAACTCTCACCAAAAAAAAAAAAAACACAAAATAGTTAGGTCATCTTAGAAAAAGAGAGAGAGAGAGAGAGAATTTTCTTAATTATTCTCCACGAAACATAAGATAAAGAATATTTCATCTCTTCTATAATCTATAATCTATACTGACATTTATTTTCCTCACTTATGCACAATTTACTGGTTAACATTCACTTGTTGTCATTTCTAGTATCCTTAAGAATTAATAATTTTCAAGAATATTTTTGTGAATTTAATACTAAATATTAAAATGTCACATTCTCGAATAACAAACCTCGCCTTCTCAAAAATAACTTTGATAAACCTTGAGTGAATACAACCTTAGTCTGTATTAAACATAATCTAAGATAATGTGATTACTAGTCGCGGACTCTGGTGGGGATATGACAGCAGAGATTTGGTTGCAGTTAACACTAAATAGTAGTTCAGTATCATGCACGGAACGCTTTTAGTGGGTTTGGTTTACTAATTCCCCTTGTTGGTCGAATGTGCCATTTAAATTTGGTAGGACCAAGTTGCAATGCAGTGGTTGTTTGCCCCCTCTACGTGGAGTAAAGTGGCCTCTCATGCAGGGCCCATAATAGGCCCATCCTCCCAAACGCTTACCAAAATAATTTTGCTTTTGTTCAAAAGACATAAAAAAGCATTACCAGTTATCCTAGACACCTCCTTGGCCTTGGAATTCCCAGAAATATCTCTGGTTGGGGAAAGGGTTGTCAAGGGTTAATAGCATTACCATTTGTACAGCACTTTCTTTCCTAACAATTATTGGAACATGCTCTTGTCTCACTTGATCACTTTTTAGTTATGCTTTAAATTCACTAGGTAACTCCATCTACTGTGACATTTTAGATACGTTCTGTACTTACCAGTTACCTTAGACATTTTAATTGTCTATTGCTAGTACCAGTTTAAGAGACCTTTTCTCTGTTATTTACCAAGGCCTTAATTTAGTTGGTATATTTCTCTGTCATTGTATGCTGAGAAAACATAATTTGACTTCAATTGTGTATATGTGAAGAAAAATAAAAGGTTCTTGGAAAGCATTGTTCATGGAAAGAAAAATAAAGTGGAGTTTTGCATCGGCCAAATGCATAATGGAAGCACGCATGTTTGCGATAAACAAACTACAGGAAAAAAAATTAAATTGCTTAAACTAAGAATACTGTTGCATGATGATAGAACACAAAGCGATGAGTTTGCCAACTTGGGTATTTGTTGTTTTAGGATAACCATAGAATGTCAAAGTCACTTTCAAAAGTTGCATAGAACTCCCGAATGGTACAGCTTTTCCTCCCAACTACTACTTTTAATCCGAATTCTTGGATATGTTATCCATCGGCAGGGAAAGGCATATTAGATGGGTGTTTCATTGTCATCCCCAACTGGTTGCATCGTAGAGGCCACATAAACGTATGCCCCACTAAGCTCCACATTGCTACGTACATAGATAAGACTACTCCCACCCAACTCAAGCATATCCCCCGCTGGTTTCATACACCGGCTAA